ATCACTTGACGGTACTTAATATTTATGGTACTAGCACTTGACGGTACTTAATATTTATGGTACTAGCACTTGACGGTACTTAAAATATATGGTATTAGCACTTGAGGTACTAAAAAATTATGGTACTAGCACTTGACGGTACTCAAAATTTATGGTACTAGCACTTGCACTTGGCGGTAATTAATATTTATGGTACTAGTACTTGACGGTACTCAAAATTTATGGTACTTGAGCTTTACGGTACTTGCACTTGGTGGTAATGAATATTTATGGTACTAGCACTTGATGGTACTCAATTTTATGCTACTGTAAAATTTACGATAATTGCACTTGACGGTAATTAAACATGACGGTACTTAAAGTTTATGGTACTAGCACTTTTTGACGGTAATTTATATATCATGAAACTTAAAATCTAAAAAAAAGTATTTTAATGAAACTTGGTTTCAATTATCTCAGTGATAATTGTTTAATTTTCTTCAAAATGCAATTACATTTTCTGTGGCATCATTGTGTTACAATATTACGTCAGAGACTAACGGATTTCGTTGAATTGTAAGCCTGGAGCAATTGTAATTTCCCACGAATTCATTATAACGGAAATGTGTCTGACGAGACGTTCAAATACTCATTCATCTTTATGGTTGAAATTTCGAAACAAGAGAGGTACAATATAAATGTTTTTTGAGATTTAAAAAAAAAAAATTTGAAGCATTACTATATACTGATGTTAAACTAAATTGTAATTAATTAGAAAAAAAAGAATGTTACATTATCCTTGTTACGTGAAACAAATATTATTATTATTATGTAAAACAATTTATTTCATCATAAAATTTAATTATATAGTGAAATTTCATGTTTGATTTAATTCTAACCGCAAAATTGTTAATCACATTTTCTATATATATATCTATAATGTTTCAATTACAATTTGTTATATTTGTCCATGTTTTAGTTTGAGGTAAATATTTTTTAAATAAATGTTTGATTCCATTTAATTTGAAATACAATAAGATAAAAATGTATTGCAATTTTTCTCTCGAAAAGAATTTATTCTATGACAGATTTATTTTGTTATCTCTTGCATCTTTTATATTTGCAGGATTTATGTTTTCCTTTGTATCAATTGAAAATAAAATCTCCTCGTTATATTCGTATAATTTCAATTTGAGATACTTTTCAATTCTATTCATAAAAAAAAAAATTCTTAAATTTTGAATATAATTTTTTCAGTCTGTATTTATAAATATAGTGGATTAGTCTTGGCTCATTTTCACCGTATATATATATATAGAGAGAGAGAGAGATCCATATTTTGCTTTGTCGACAAAATTGTTTACGACGTTAATTTGGCTCGTGTTACTGAAAAATGGGACCTCCATTTCTGCCGCGCCAGTTTCGAGCACACGCATCGTACTCTCCACAAATTACGAAGGAACTGGCCGTTACTCCCTTTCGTGAATTATTGCATTGGATGGTCATCTGGCGCCGAAGAACGTAGTCGCGTGGCGACTAATTTTACACTAGAAAATCCGCTCTCTCAGGGAGAATAAAAGAGAAGAAGAGAGAGAAAGAGAGAGAGAGAGAGAAAAAGCGTATGTGTGTGTGCTTGCACTTACTCGCTCGACGGTCGATGCATCTTTTTCATTTAGCTCTTGGTGTAGCACCTGCTCTAATGAAACGGCTTCGTGCAAATCCTGACATTCATTTCTTTCCCGTCCACTATTCTCATTAGTCGATTGCATTTTCTTCAATGGCAAAAATTTATATCTCAATTGACCGATTGAATTTCTCAAAATTTTCACAAGGAAAATTATATATTTTTTTTTTAGAAAATATATATATGCTCTCCGAATTTCCGATGAATTTAATTGATGAAAATTTTCAAGTGTAGGAGAAATTAATAATTGATATAATTAATCAAGTGAAATAGAAATCAAAGAAAGGATAATAAATTGTTAAGTAAAATGAAAATTTAGAGGAAAATTAATTAAATAAATTTTGGAAAAAAAATAATAATAATCTACTAATGATATATAAAATGACTTTTTCTTTTTTTCTCTCTCTCTCTATATATATATATATATAAAAAGAGCGGAGTTCATTGGGATATGAGATTAAAAAAGCGAAAGGATCACGTTATCTCTTCTTTTGCTACTCTCGGCATAATGAAAAGGCTCTTCGCAGATGGCAGAAATGTCGATAAGTTTCCTTTTTGAAAGGACATATCCAATCTACGAACATTTCCGACGATGGCAGACGAGTAGCTCGGATATTTCAACCCTATTCGATTTTAATATTGAACCGCAACTTTGTCTCACGTTGATCTTCATATTCTGAACAGTTAGTATTGTATTAATAACCAAACTTTAATCTATATTATAAAATGTTTGGTTTCAATTTATTTGCTGACAACTGCCATTTATATAATATAATTAGATTTATGTTTAATAATAGAAATATTTCCAATTTCATTTCAACGGTAAGTGCAACTTTTGCTATAACCAACGGTAAGTGATAATAAATCCAAGTGACAGTAACGATGGTTACAATTAACGGTAAGTGCAAATACCAGTAGTTTTAACCGACGGTAAGTGATAATAATAAGTCCAAGTGACAGTAATACTTTCAATTGACGGTAAGTGCAATTAATGTTAGACACCCTTGGCGGTAAGTGCATATAACGATAATTTGAACCGACGGTAAGTGATAATAATAAGTCCAAGTGACAGTAATACTTTCAATTGACGGTAAGTGCAAATAACGATAATCATAACCAACGGTACGTGATAATAAATCCAAGTGACAGTAATAATAATTTCAGTTGACGATAAGTGCAAATAACGATAGTTTTAACCAACGGTAAGTGATATAGTAAGCCTAAGTGACATTAACGATAGTTTCACTTAACGGTAAGCGCTATTATTCACAATTACAATTGACGGTAAGTGAAAATAACGATAATTATAACTAACGGTAAGTGATAATAATTTCAATGACAATAACGATAGTTTCAGTTGACGGTAAGTACATTAAATGATAGTTACCCTTGACAATAAAAGTAATTAGTCATAGTTACACTTGACGGTAAGTACAATAAGTTTTGATCAAACGGTAAGTGCTACAGCTACAATAATGACGGTAAGTGCATTTCTAGTCGACGGTAAGTGATATTTATCACAAAAAATGAATCCTACCTTAGTTATACGGTAATTTCTATTAAATGACGGTAAGTACACTTAACGACAGTAAGTGATATTTATTATTAACAGCAAGCAAAAAAACGAAATCAATAGTCAAATTTTGGCTATAATTTCGTTATTTTAAATCGTAAGGTAAAATTGACGGTAAGTTCATTCACTTGCGGTGAATGTAACTGATGGTAATTGCAAAAAAGATGGGATTCCCTAAGAGAATTTAGTGAAGGATTCAACCGTAATGTTTCTATCTATATACATACGTTAGACTTTAATCTAGAAACTGTATGGTTTCAACTTGTTTATAACAAGGCCTTACCCACTGAAACTACTATCCGTACTTTGAGCTCTGCGGTGCATTATGGTGAACTAACTGTAGAATGGGTTTGGAAACAGGAAAAGGGTGGATGTTGCCCTTCTGGCTCCTAGTTTCCTAATAAACTATACACTTTAGACGATCTTAACTTGAAAATTTGTGAAACTTGCAGTAAGTGAGAGAGAGAGAGAGAGAGTTCACTCTTGGTGTTTTGCGTTTCACAGTTTCTGACACGACGACAGAATGGTGAGAGAAAGCCGCTTTCACTTAACATACATACGTTTCTTGAAATACCGCGTGACACGAGGGAAAAAGCGTCATGTAAAGCTTCTACGCTTAAGCTGCTTTCCTTTCCATGCTGTCGTCATGTTTTATTCTACTAAAGGCCGGTTAAAGATATGAATTACGTTCATTCAGCGCGAGGAAAGTTACTCTTTCTCTCTTTCTCTCTCAAAAAAAGACGCAAGTAACTATGCATAGCGCTCTGACTTTTATTTCCTATATACACGCCAACCTGGCTTCGCAGATTTATGTTGCCGTCATTCGAGAGAATTTGAAAGAACCACACTGAAACTGCGCTTTTTCCACTTCTTTAGAAACAAGATTATTTAAAGTAGCAAAACCGTTTGAAAATGTTTAATGCCCCGTGCTCTCTGTTTTCAAATTTACTTTTCTAAGGCGCTCTCAGAGAATTGAGATTCATTGCCGGACGGATTAAAAAATAAAAACAAAATAATTGCATCAATATAAAAAAAAATAAACTATTTTCCTCTAAATATAAATATTTTTGTTTAAATATTTAACTTACATTAAAAAAACAGAATAAAGGAAGATGTTAAGCCGATAAAATAATTGGATGAGAAAATATTTGCTTAATCAAAACAAAATACTATTCATTAGGAAAACAATCATGTAACGTGCATGCAATATAAATTATTTATAATTTGCATGATCGCTTGGAATTATCATATTTTGTCACGAGAACTCTCTAATGTAGACAATTCTCTTTTTTTTCATTTTTTTCTCCATTTCCTTCTTTACTTTCTCTCCTTCTCTTTCTCTCTCTCTCTCTCTCTCTCTCTCTCTCATTCTAAAGATTTGCATAAATCCACAGAAGTACCGGAAACAAATATCTTATACCTGCAGGAATATCTTATTAGGTCAGAAAGTTTTGCATTACTCGTCGGAGTTTAAAACGAAGACGCAACTCACTAAACTGATCCCTGCTGAATATAATTATTCGTAATGTAGACACTACGATAAATGGAATTTCCCCTTACCAAAGAGAGGGAGGAACGGAAAAAGACATTTGTAATCATTCAACGGTGACATTTGCTCACGACTCAAACTTCAGTCATAAAATTAAACTCCAACGGAAGAAAAAAAAAAGAAGAAAAAATTTCTTTCTTCAAAATAATATTTAAAAATTTATTTTTTTAAAACTTTAAAAAAAATATGTTTTTAAATAATTTTAAATTTAGTTTTACTTACAGTTCCATTGTTTTTTTTTCTAATTATTTATTTATATCACCATTGAACATACCTGAAACAATAAAGAAAATTCTCATTAATATTAGTCTCAAAAATTGTATATACTTATCAAAAAAGAAAATATATTGTATGATGAAACAATAAGCTTCATAAAATATCGTTTTAAACTATAAAACAATATTAAAAAGTTCTTCGGTGGTCGATGTAATAAATTTATCTCTTTTTGAAAGATGGGATTCTTTGGAAAAAAAAAGTTTTTGATCTTTCTCCACGGTCAACTATTCAGGACGTGGCAGCTGAGAATAATTAAAAGATTCAGCTCTATATGTGTGTTAGTGTGTGCGCACGACCAAGTTGAGAAACGACTAAAAGTGATTGTAACTTAGTTTACCATCTTTATTAAATATTCATAGAGTTTTTACAAGCAGAAGTAATTCAATGTCACGTGAATTACAGTTTACACTTTCAGGAAGATGAAAACAAGATGCGGTTTTAAAAACTTTCAAACAAATAAAAAAAAAAAAAAAATTATATGGTCTCACAGTTTACGACAATTATTTCATTGGATAAAAAAAAAATTATTCGTTCTTTGCGCAAAACAAATGATGGAAAACAAAGAAAATTGACGGTAAGTGCAACTACCTATAGTTTAACTAGACAGTAAGTGCAATTATAGATTTTAAATGACAATACTAATAGCTTTATCTGACGGTAAGTGCAGCTATTAATAATTGAAACTGACGATAAGTGACGGTAAGTACTATTACACAATTTAAATGAATATAATAATACTTTGAATTGACGGTAACTGCTACTACTTATAATTGAAATTAACTTATAAGTGTATCTGAAGATTTCAATCGCTAATTTAGTAGTTAAAATGGACGGTAAGTGCTACTATCGACAATGTAAACAGAGGGTAAGTGCACATGTATATGTAAAGTGCTATTAATAAGTTTTATTTGACAGTAAGTGCTTCTATCAATAGCGCAACTAAACGGTAAGTGCTATTATACATTTTAAGTGACGATAATAATAGTTTTAATTGACGGTAAGTGGAACTACTCACAGTGTAACAGGACGGTAAGTGCATCTATAGATTTTTAACTGATTGTAATAAGTTTTCATTGACGGTAAGTGCTACCACTTATAATTTAAATTAACTGTAAGTGTATTGGAAGATTTCAAGTTTTAATTGACGGTAAGTGCTACAACCGATAGTAGAACTAGACGGTAAGTGGATCTATACATTTAAAGTAATAAATTTAGTTTTAATTGACGGTAAGTGCTACAACCGATAGTATGACTAGACGGTAAGTGCATCTATAGATTTTAAATGATAATATTTATAGTTAGCATTCTATTTTTAAGAAAAAATAGAAAAATAAAAAGAATAAATATAAAAAAAATGTTTGACAATATTTATTCAGTGAGTCCAGACAAAGAGAGAGAAGGTTTGTTACACTTGGTATTATTATTATTATTAAGAGGATGCAAGTCGGAAACTTTGGGAGAGGCTTTCAAACCCACACCGATTTCTTGTAGATAAACTGGGAGGTTCTCTCTCTCCCTCTCTCTCTCTCTTCCCCCTCCCTTCTCTCTTTCTACTATCTGCTTTACATTGAGAGAAGCGCTTTCCGTCGTTGCACAATCGAGTTCCGCAATTTCGTTGTTAAGTTTCACCGAACTTGGAGAACTTGAGAGCAAGAGAGATAGAGAGAGAGCAAGAGAGAGAGAGAGAGAGAGAGAGAGAGATGAAGGGGTGGGGGAAAGGGAAATATAATTTCCATGGACTACGCGTTAGATATAACGCTATTGGTTGGAAGATCATATAATTATTTGCTGACTTATTACATCTGAGAAAATTACTATCAAGTTTCATGAATCGCAACATAGAAGCAGTTTAACTTTGCAAGAATATTTCTTGGCAAGAGAGAAAGTAAGAGAGGAATGTAGTTTTCCAAGTTATGCATATTCCATCATTTTCAATTTGTTTCTCCAAGCTCCCCCCCACCCCCCGTCACCTCCGCTGCCTCCTGTTTTTTTCGTTAAAATGAAATTAGCAAAAGTTTTGCAAAATTCTCTTTATAAATTATTTTATTAAGTGCACTTATTATTATTTTTAATGAATTTAAATTTTCTTTGAATAAATTTTATTTTCTGTCTTAGAAAAAAAAATTGAAATTTTACTAAGTTTATCAGGAAAATTTCGTAATTGTCTGACAATTATTGACACGTTCTACTTAAAATAATTTATTTCCTAATTGTCTGATAATAATTGACTTGTTCTACTTAGATTAAATCCGTTTCCTTGATAGTCTGATAATAATTGACTTGTTCTACTTGAAATCAGGAAATTTTCTAATTGTTTTACTTAAATGAAACCATTTTTTTTTTTATTATTTTCTGATGATTTTTGCTTCGTTAATTAAATAATAACTTTTATCATTAAAGGAAGTAAAAAAAAAAAATTTGAAAAAGAAACAAAGATGAAAAAAATTCAATTCCAGTGAAATAATAAATACAAAATAAATAAGTCTCGAGAGTAATTTTTTGATTGCATTGAACATCGAATGAAAAAGCACGAGAGAGAGAGAGAGAGAGAGAGAGAGAGAGAGAGAGAGAGAGAGAGAGAGAGTGAGAGGCAAGAAGTCGAAACATTTTGTGGCGCGTCTGGGGACAAATCGAGTTTCAGTATAGAAACGGCCGATATCCGTTGGTGCGAAAGTACTCCAGGTAATCTAATAACGCGTCACTTCCGGACCATTATTCTCCTTCGATCTACTCTAAAGCCCTGCCAGGAACCCGTTGACCCATCTATCAACCCTGGATATAGGAAGTAGCCCCAGGGTTCTAGTATGTGGTCACAAGTGTTACCTTCTCTCTCTCTCTCTCTCTCTCTCTCCATCTCTCCTTCTCTCTCCCCCCCTCTCTCTCTTTTTCTCCGTTACCTTTAGTCAATATTCTACTTTGTGAGAGAAGTGGCTTTTCATTCTTTGAGCCGTGTGACTCTTGAGCTCTCTTTGTTTTCAGAAGCATTATACACATATACACACACAAGATGGTTGGAATTGACACCCTCTTTTGCAAAAATAACCTGTCGCTTGGTTGCACCAACATTCATGAGTTAGAAAAAAAAAATGAAAAACTTCAATGAAGAGAAAAAGATACTCAATGTTATTTTAATTAACAGTAAGTGCTACCGATAATTGAAGTAGACAGTAAGTAAAACTATAGATTTTGGTAGTGCCTATAATAGTTTAAATAAACGGTAAGTGCCACTATTTATAATTGGAATTGACGATAAGTGTATCGAAAACATTTCAAGTGTTAATAATTCTTTAAATCAACGGTAAGTGCTCCTACCGATGGTTTAACTAGACGGTAAGTGCATCTATAGATTTTAAGTGCTATTAATAAGTTTTAATAACCGGTAAGTGCTACAACTGATAGTACAACTAGACGGTAAGTGAACTTAAAGTGATGTTAATAATAGTTTTAAATGCCGGTAAGTGCAGCTAGAGATTTTAAGTACTAATAATGAGTTTAATTGACGGTAAGTGCAACCTACAGATAGTGTAACAAGACGGTAAGTGTATCAAGTGATATTAATAATTTTTAATTGTCGGTAAGTGCTGTTACTTATAATTTAGAATTAACGATAAGTACTTTGGTAGATTTCAAGTGCTAATAGAAAGTTTTAATGACCGGTAAGTGCTACAAGCGGTAGTACAACTAGACCGTAAGTGCATCTGTAGATTTTAACCATAATACAGTTTTAATAGACGGTAAGTGCTACCACCGAGAGTATAACTAGACGGTAAGTGCTTCCACCGACAGTATATCTAACCGGTAAGTGCTACCACCTATAGTATATCTAACGGGTAAGTGCTACCAACTATAGTATAACTAGACGGTAAGTGCATCTGTAGATTTTAACCATAATACAGTTTTAATAGACGGTATGTGCTACCACCGAGAGTATAACTAGACGGTAAGTGCTTCCACCAACAGTATATCTAGCCGGTAAGTACTACCACCTATAGTATAACTAGACGGTAAGTGCTTCTACCGACAATATATCTAGCCGGTAAGTGCTACCACTTATAGTATAACTAGACGGTAAGTGCATATATAGATTTTCAGTGCTAATAATGAGTTTTTATGACCGGTAAGTGCAACTACCGTTTGTAAAACTAGACGGTATAAGTAACTCAATAGATTTTAAATCATAATACACTATTAATGGACGGTAAGTGCATTTATAGAATTTAAATAATTACAATTCTAGTTTTAATAATAATTTTAATGAACGGTAAGTGCAATTACATATTTTAGACATTAGAAGTGATAGTTTTTAATAAACAATAAGTTTTCTTATTGATAGGAAAAAAATAAAGAAAAGCTTAAATTAAAAAGAATGTATCTCAATGTTTGCATGTTGTGTTCTTTCTTATCACGTGGAGCAAAAAAAAAAAAAAAATATTGCTCGTTACACTCTTGTTTAAATTTTTTTTCCAAACCGACTACTTATGTTGCGCGATCAATCTTTAGGAAAAATATATATATATATAATTAATGTTCTGTATTGTATAATTTCACTTTACAAGTGGAAATAAAAATGTTGGCTAATGTGCGATAAGAGAGTTGAACTAATTTCTTTATAATTTATACTTTTTTTTTGCTGAAATTCCTGCAGAGAAATAGTAAACAAAATTCTTTTTTTCTTCATCTGAAATATAGGGGGAAAAATTTTCTATTTTTCAGTGGATTAATACTATTATAAATAATTAATTACAATTAAAATAAATAATAATAATAATAATAATAATAATAATAAATAATAATAATAAATAATAAATAATAAAAATAAACAATAATAAAATATACTATTTTATTTAAAAATAATTAAATCTATTTCCTAATTTGCTGACGACAATTGACTTGTATTACTTAAATCAGCCAATTTTCATTATTGTCTGACTATAATTGACTTGTTCTACTTTATTTAATTTTCCAATTGCCTGACAATAATTAAAACGTTATTTTTAC